TCTCCCAGTGAGCATGTCGGAGAGTTTTGTGTCAAACCTACTTAGCAATGAAAACGCGGTTAAAATTTGTGGGCACCATCATGTTCTTTTGCCCACTCCCTTTCTATTACTAAACCAAAACATGGAAAGGTACAACCGACCACCAACTTACAGTGATTGAGCAGGTGGAGTATACGACGTAACCGCCAACTTTGCAGCAATCAATAGCCGCAAGAAGCAGCTGTTTCTGCAGCATTACACATTGTTTAATGTCTTCATCTGTCTTGTGTGCTTTCACAGAAGGATCCTTCGCAATGACACCTGTACCCGAACAAGGAGCATCTAGTAGAACACGATCAAATCCTGTCATAATGTTGTGGAACTTCCGCCCATCTTCCACACAGATGATTGTATTGACAATGCCCATGCGATGGCAGTTACCCAACAAAGCCTTCGCTCTTTCCGCGTTTACATCGTTAGCGAAGAGTGAGCCGGTATTTTTCATCAACTGGGCTATAATAAAAAAGTACAGTTGAATCCTACCAGCAAGAAACAATTTTAATTTGCGATAACTCACCAATATAGGTCGTCTTTCCCCCAGGGGCGGCACACATGTCGAGGATTCTCTCGCCAGGCTTAGGAGCTAGTGCCATCACGGGCAACATGGAGCAAGCGCCCTGCAATATGTAGTGACCCGCCAGATACTCAGGTGTGGCACCAAGTGGAACATGCGAGGAGTACACGACGAGACCGACTTTACTCCAGGGCTCCAGGGGGTCTAAATTAACTCCACGGTTAATTAAAGCCTAAAATATGTAATACTAAAAGTACTGACGAACTTGAGCCAAATCTCTTCGACGCGTTTTTAACGTGTTTGTACGAATAGTGACTGGACGATCAGTTTCATTCGACTCCACAACTTCAAGAATCTACATTAATACTCGATAACAAGTATGATAGGCACCTCTTTCGGAAATAGGTCGTAAAGTATGTTAATCATGAAGCGATTATACGAATATCGTTGACACAAATCATTAAGAAGAGAGTCCACACAAGCTTTACGGGTTAAACCCGAAGGAGCACGATTTTTAAAGTCCTCTAGCATAAGCAATGAATTTTTGATTCGCTGAGTTAACAGTTTCATGTCATAAGTAGGACCAGATCGGTAATCAGATTCGGTAATATTCGTCGCAACATTTTCACATTCCGATCCAACCTCATCTTCGTCGTTTTTTAATTGAGCTTCATTATCGCCCTTATTTTCGACCAAACGCGCCTCGTTCATTTCTTCATCACTGATAAGATCATCTAAATTCCCAATCGTTTTAGGGAAATCTGATTCTAGGTCAACATCCAGCTCATTTCCGTCAAACAAATTCTTCTTGCCCACAGTTTTTTTCTATTATAAAGGTTTAAAATAAACCCAAAACAGCCTCTTACTTCTAAGGTAGCGTTTTTGGCGGAGAAAAGTCTTTTCTTCAACCTTTAAAGTCACATGAAATATGCATATAAATGATACCTTTTTTTTTGTCGACTACCAAGGGTTGCTACAAAAGATATTTAAAACATTGCCGACAACATACCTTTTTTCGTTTTTTCAAGAAAGTTAAATTGTGGATCTGGCTGATGCTTAAGCTTCCGCGGGTTTTTCTTGCCGGAGTACGTCATGCCGCTGATGTTGCGTCCAAAAAAAGCGCTTAACTGATATCCTACAAATTTGGCCCACTATATGCATGCTTACTTGTCAGAAAATAAAGTTTCTTTTATCAGGGTAATTATACTTTTTTAATCACTATCTGCATTATTTATGAGATTAATGTATGATTAATGTTGATAATTACCCCTCCTTACTATACCTTGGGAAAGTGTGAGATTTTCATGTACAGTGCAGTAATATATTCATAAACGACTCAATGTCATTGCCATGATAATCGCATAAAGTCATGCATGAGTCAAATATAAAATAACTATAAAGGAAAACAGGAAGAAGTCGTTGTTTTAGGTGTGCTTTTAACTAATGGATAAGTATTATGAAATAACATCCTTCGAATTTTAATTAATTAAACACATAGTCGGACAATTACACAAGCCCAAGTTGAACAACTTTCTTAATAAATACAAAAATATTATAGTAATCCTAAGATTTTCTAAAACAATAAGTCGGACATCTATGAAGTATAGTTGGATTTTTTTCGCAGGCCAGTTAAGTGAGTATTTTACTTACCGAAGGGGCAGAAATAGTAACTCAATTATGTCCGAATATTTCAAGGAACACCTTTTAATAGTCAAAATATTAAAATGTTCATTGAATTATGTTAAAAGTAGTTAGCACTATGTTAGAGGCCCAAAATTTCCAGTGCATAGTACAATTTATTTTTCTTTCTTTCAAAAAATACTGTCCCATTTGTATCGGTGCTATAAACTTGACAAAATAATGTGTGAATGATTTAAAAAAAAACACAAGTTATAAGTCAAGAATGTTCTGCTATATTAATACTGGGCTTTTACGATTCTACTTTGATTGGTTTGTTTAATATATTTATTCAGTCCGATGTCCTCCGTTACTTTGATCTTTCCAAATAGTGATTGTGTTTACGCGCCCTAACATGTCAAAGCTTGGTTATAGCTATTTGTGGTTTGCAGCAATTATATGTTTATTTCGGTAGCTATGAGAGGCTTATGAGAGTACAAAAGCATCTTATACAAGCATACAGTGATGCAATTTTAATTATCCTCGGAATTGATAGTCGATTTAACTCATTGTGCTCAAAAGCTGTCAAATATCTTTGCTTGAAATCCGTTTCTGGAAATGTTTCCAATAAACGTTTATCTTACATCGATGAGCCTGAAAGTGAAGGTACCTGCTAAACTTAGTCCCTATCGTATTTTAGAGTTTGTACTTGTTATAAAACCAAGGAAAATTGAATGTTTCTGCACCAACGAAAATGTTCTGTCCTACCTAGAGACGTTGCTTGTATTTAACAATGTTATTGTTTACCACTATGACAGTGGAAAAGTATTTTCGTACTGCTCAGTCAATTTAGGATGGCGATGTGAGCGAATGTGATGACCTTAAATTAAAGTTTCTGCGAAAATTCATTGCTTCGTGTCATCAGATTTCCCTTCCTTATAACACAAGTACGTCAAGTATCTGAGTTTACGTTTCAATTCAGGTGGACAGAGCACTGAAGGCGATCATTCTGACCTAAAATCTTGTGTTTCATGGCCGCTAATCCAGAGCTTTGTTTTTAATTTCGATACTTGGTAGGTGCTTACCACTGTTTAAGAACACATTTGTTACTTTCAGCTTATATGTTTTAGTGCACAATAAATATTAAGTAAAAACAATCCAGCGGTTGCTTACATAACATATTTTGTTCTTTTTAGTGAAAATCAACTGGATTTTTCACGAACCCCTAAAGTGATGGAAATTAGACGCTTATTTCTAATCAAAAAGTTTAGGTCGCTGACTTCTCTGCTCAGATTATAAAACTTTGTAAATATCCAGATGCTTTAAACTTTGAAGACCACATTGTGAAGGTATGGTGAGCTGTATCTTAGTACTCTAGAATACATTGACATTCTGCTGGGCTTTTGAGAATTGCTTGCGCCGAATAGAAACCGGACTTGGAGAGTGTATGAGCCCGAAGGAGATTATAGAGGTATGTTAACTATGCTTGTAGCAAAGTTTTAAGCCTCTGTACAGCTATTTTAGGCACGCAGAAATTTGTGAAGGAAAACATTTTCGGTTTCTGATTCTCCATAAATTCATTGATAATAGGAGCCGCCCGCCAGTCGCCCTTCTGGGCCAAGACTCTTGTCAGAAGACTTACACAAATGCATCTTCTACACCTAATGATGCTGAAGACCGCTCAAAGGAAACATTTTTTCATATTGTAAGAAAGCAAACATTGCTATCTATCGAGAACAAAAACTAACTGGAACAAAAAATTGATTTCTTTTCTGGCTGTTTCTCATTAAAGTAATTAATCCTCATCTGCGCATGGATATCAGCTTGTAGCATTAAGCTTTACCTACAATATGAATTGAGTACTTTTTTTATTGTACATGGTTGGACACAATACCTCAACACTGATCACGAAGGACGTTTGCGAGTTCAGTGTAATAACACATGAAAATTCCCCAAACAGGAAAAGTGGTCTGTTGTGGTATCCCTCACCTCGCTTATTACTGCATGTTTAGAGATTGACTTTTGATTATTCCAATTAATCCTGGGGTTGAAAACAGTAATAGACAAGCGTGGCATTACCCAGGTTGGTCAGAACCTGCTTGGGTCCACTGTTGTATTCAACGTTTTTATAAAGATTTGTTTAGGCAAATTTTTCCCACATTTTACTAACTCAATCGTAGTCAAAGAGGCATGATATCTGACTTTTTCCCTTATTTGTAATAGCTTATCAGAGGAACCTCTTTGCTTTCACATTTCTACTGCACACGGACGTACTTTACAGCGCCCAAAATTGATAATTCAGGTAAATATGCTCTTGCTTTTCTGAATGCGAGTCTAGTAAACGTACTTGGGTGCATTGCTTCGACTCTTGAGTACTCATTTATAATGCATCCCATCTAAAATTAACTTTTTTGTTCAGCGTTAGAGGTGCAGTTTGCCGAAAATCTGGGGTCTGTTTAAAAGGATTTTTTTTTGTTTCAAGTTGGATTAGCCTAATTAATTACTTATGTGTCTAACGTGCTGCATGCTTTCTTTTCAGCATTCTAAATAAGGCGTATAAGCAGATTCAATTAGCTTTCTCAAAGTTAATTGATGAATACGAAGCACATTCTTCAAAGAAAAGTGAGGTAGTCACAACGTCTGTAAAATTTCATTTTTGGGATTTGTTCACAGCGCCTCAGGTGTAGTGGCAAGCACGTCAAAGTGAGAATGTCATTTTAAAGAAGGTTGATTCATATGACGTGTCGTCAGAACAAATAAGCTATCTATCTTTAGACTTAGTATCCCCTGTATTAGCTATTTGAGAACCTAATTTAACTAATGCATCTCTTGGCATTGCTTACATTTTAGTGAAAACAAGCACTTTTAATATCTTTTTTTAGTAAAATTGCATCGCATGTTCAAATAATGCCAAATGAAATTGGTTTTCATAAACCTCTTAGGATTGCATTCTAGTAGAATCCACTTTTCAAGGTTTTAAAAACATGTGCTAAGTACCCAAATTTGCGATTCTATCATAAGTTTATTTTGCTATTTTCTAAAGGATCTCTTTAAGGCTACTGAAGCGTCACTGAGTGCCAATTTGTCGGAGTTGCACTGCCAAAATATTGCCATAAGGTGGGATATTTCAGATTACCCATTAATAACAGCCTTTTGTTCTGCACACTTCTTCCATTGAGTTCCAGCCAGTTGAAATTGGTGGAATAAACTATACATTTTGTAGCCTTGTTGCTTTGTGGTGCAGCTGGAATGTTTGTGTGATTGTTGTCAGTTTATAAGCATTCTGCAAGGAGATTTATAGCACAGTCTTCACTCTCCTTGATCAAACAGACCGAGATTGGCGGCTGCATAGGCCTCATTTAGAACTTTTAGAAAGGTTTTCCTACTGAAGTTACAGTCCAGTCCACACAAGCTAAATGAGAGTATTTGTAGCTTGGTTGACATCTGGATAATTGGAGAAGAACGCAACCATGTGAGGTTCTGTACGGATTTTCCGGTCAACGTTAAATTTTTTTGCACTGAGTTACCATGGTGCCCAAAACCACGATAAACCAGCAAGATTTATGCGTGCTGACTTAGGTTATAAAGGTTCCTACTGGTGTGCAAACAAGGGATTTGAACCAATAAGCACTTTAAAGAAGCCCTTTGCTTTGCTTGGATCTTGACTTCCGCTTAAGTCGGATTTAAACTCTTGTTCTAAGGTTAGTAACGGATTTTGAAGCCGAAGACATCATTCCACCTATCCGACTGGCAACATTAGAAATATCGATTTATGACCTCGAAGATTCGTCTGGTAACCTCATCGGCAGTGTTTCCTATGCTGATACACTGCTAATTTCTGAGATCTTCTTCAACGATGGTATGGGCATATTCGCTTAAAGTAAACTTAATTGGTTTGCAACATCTCACTTAAATTGCAAGTTCTTCAATCTCTTTTTCGTAGACCATATCACCACAAATGTTTTCAATTTAACTAAGAGCATTCCTGCGTATTGTTTTTGGGATCCAAAGGTAAACATGTGATTTTCTTTAACTTTCATTAAACCGTTTTCCTATTCTCATGATATACTGAAACTTTTTGAGTACGACAATAGTTGGCCACAACGTGATTCGAAGCGGAGAAATTTGCTGAAAAATTAGACTACTTATATGGTAATTTAAGCTACAGTAAGTTGGTTGACTTGTGAGTCTAACCCTTGCACTAACTTAAAATCACTAAGCACTTTGTGTCACCTCAAGTACTTCGTCCTGTTTATCCCTTTTCGGTCCACTTAGGTATTTTCTTGTTTCAGATTAAGCCACCATCATTGGCGGAACAATATTCTGTAAAAGGATCTTCGATGTCAAAGAACGGTGGACTACCGATTGCGTTGATTCACCAAGGCATAAATGAAATTGGCGTAACTGCTGGTAAATTGTTTTTAATTTTCTGTAGACATAAAAGCAACATTTCTTCAAAAAGTAGGCAACCTAGATGACCAAGTTCTATTAATAATTGGACAAAATGCCATATCACGATCAGGGTTTGTTGTTAAACAAGCACGAATGTAACAAATTGCATATTTTGAACCTAATTCAAAACCAAACGCTGACATACTCTATACTAATGGCTCAAAACCAGAGGGTTCAAGTTTGATTTTTTCGCATCGCGGCAAGTTTAGTTGGTTGCAAATTATTGTCAACTAGTACCTAATATATGTTCATCTCTATTTCTTTTTTACTTAGCCTTTTGCAGTTTCTCCGCTGGCATCATCACAGTTTCCGGTCACAGATTGGGTCGTTACCGATTTTCAGTTGAAAATGTAAACTGTTTTTCCACGGTAAGATGACTTTGATTATGCACTTGGGTTTTCTACTCAAAAATGTCAACTGCTAAATAGTATTATTAAAAAAACCTTTACTAATTGTCACTTTTTTGGTGAATGGAAATCCCACAGGTGAAGGACATTCCAGAGTTCACAAGCGGGAATTGCCTTTACGAAATATTGCCTTAATTTTGGTCTCCACAGTGGCAAAATCAGTACACTTTGCATTTTATGTCAATAGGACTCAAAGGAATTTTGGGGTCTGTGGCAATTCGATGTAAAGGAAATACCTACGAAAAGCACTATTCACCCATCGCCAGCACCATTCATTTATACGGCCGCAGATTCAACGGGATTGATGAAGAATCTTTTCCACATGGACATGTCACCTAGCAGCTCACAATGCATATTTGCGGTGCTTCGCATCGGAGCTGCAACACACAGCGTAAGTGTACGAGGCAGATCTAAATAAGAATTTACATAGGAAAGTTGACAAACATGCCGCCTGTTATCGCTTTACGATATCCATATTTAACACAAGAAATCCTAATGTAAACATGATCTTCAAATAAAGGCCAAATGCATTTTACCAGTGAATTCAAAAATTCCTGTCTAAAGAAAGTTTTTTGTGTGCCATAGGTAACTTGATTTGCCCATAGGGGAGTCGTAGTGCCCCCCTACGTTGGTCAATAATTTCAAACACTTTTTTTGTCAATCTTTTTATTCACACTTTGTTAATGCGTCAACTTAAATATTTAAGTAATCGAAGTAATCTCAGTTTTACCTGGTTAAGAAGACAGCGCTATATGTTATGATTGTAGCTGAATGTTAAGAGATTTGACTTGTGTCGCTTTCCCCAAACTAGTGATTTCCTACTACTTTCGCTTTACTACAGGCACTTGAGCGTCTACAGGCATTCAAAATAGATTTGGATGTGAATGAAAGAACAGAAGTAGCCCTCATAGTTAAATCGGGCCTTGAAGATTTGATTAAATTGGCTCTCTGCGGTGGAAAGGACCAGGCCCTGCCATCGTCAATGGACCAGTCTCTCATACACTTCAGTTGTGATAGCTTATCAATGAATAGGATGATGAAGGCATCAACTCTAACTCTACGCCATTTGGAAGCTAGTGCCTGCCTCTCAGCTGCCGTGGATTTTCAAAAGGGTTTGACTGTAGGGAGATTACTGGCTCGCTGTGGAATCCCGCTTCCTAGTACAAGTGTAGAACAAGAACTCCTGCTTAAGCAAATTCTTGGTATCGAGAGGGAGCCTGCAAAATTAGAGGAGGAATCGAATACTACCAAAAATCCGGGTGAGTTAACGTTAATAACTCAACTCTCATTACTCGATCCGCTTAATACGAAACCCATCTTTTTGCCAATTAAGAACAACTGCGGTTGGAGACTTTTGGACTTGGAGCGAAGAATAAATCCAATAGCCTAATGGTAACAATCCTTACTGGAATTCATGGGAGTTACATGGTGAGTGGTAGACTGCATCAACTTACCACGGAACTCAAGGTTTTCTTTTCCTTAGCTCTCTACAACTCATACATAATCCATTACTATATTCCCTTTTCAATTAGTTATCATATCTGCAATCATTTGTCAAAAAATGAAATCTTTACGCACACTGTCACTTGACAGGGTTTCAACTTAGTAGCAACTGTTTCATTTACCAGCCGTGTATTGTCTGTGGTTATGCCACTCTAACACTCTCCTGACCTTCCCTTAGACGTCTGCCATTTTTTGTGTAATTTCGAACAAAAATCTATTTAATTTATTATGTCACTATCAGTTTTACGGTGACTTTTAATGACTCTGTCATAATCTTTGCTATCGTGTTTTGTCTTAAGTCATTTTCAATAGGGTGAAAAGCATTAGTGTAATCAAAGTAACTACCTTACTGGGCAAGAAGGTCTATAGCACAGCCGTTTTCGTGTTTTATGGTCTTGACTCTCCTTGATTAAACAGACCGAGATTGGCAGCTGCATAGCCAAAGTGGGGAAGGCGAACACAGTCTGGATGATTCTTCATCCAAAGCAGCTGGCCGAAGTTCCTCCTCTACTTACCTCTAGCTTGAAAGAAAAAGCAGAACGAGAAACTAGCGGAGAAAATCGATCGTTCCGCTGTCTCATCGTTGCCCCATTGTGGATTTCTGTTCCAGAAATACTAACAGAAGTGGAATCTTTTTTCATGCCCGATAAGGGCAACCCCGAGGAAGCACAAATCCGTATTGGTGAGTTTCATTTGATGACGAAACGTGTGTCCCATATTTTTGCTCTCTTTTATAGCTCCTAAAGTACCATCTTTTGCAGTAGTTGCGAATTTCGACTTGTTACAACGCCCTGTTACTCAAATAGGCAAGTATTAATAAAGATCTTCGCACCCACGGCGATAAGAGATGGTTGTTTTGTAAAAGAGATTTTGTTATAATGCGACAAATTACATGCAGTAAATTCCTATTGCTCTCATTATAAGCACACAAATTGCACTTTGCAGCTAACCTTTAAGGTGTTGTTAGCCTATGCTTAAATTGGTTGAGCATTCAGGTAACCCGACATCGGGTTACACTGGACGTTTACAATTGAAAGGCCTCATCTGTTACCCGTGACAGTCCAGTCTAGCGTTGATGCAATTAAACATGTCTGTGCGTGTGATAAATGGGTTTCCATTAGTTCTATTTATGAATTTCTAGCAGCACCTCGACAGAATTTTTTTTTCACTTTCCCTTCTTCTCCACATTCTAGTTTCTACCATCACGTGTGTTGATCCGAGAATGTGCTTAATGGGACCTGAGGGGTAAATTTGTTTTTTTTTGTCAAGTCTGATGGCATGTCTAAAGTCAGTTTGCTAAAGGTTCTCCATTGAGATTTTTTTCCAATCCTACGTACTGCTCCGAAACCACCACCACCACCTAAGCCAATCACTAAGCAATCATGGGAAATTGTAAGCTATGAGCACTGTTAATTTAATTGTAAATTTTGGTGGTAATTAATATTCCGAGAATGGCGCTATTTCACTCAGGATCATTAGTTTCGGTAGTTCGGATGATTTTGGATAACTCAAAAGTGAATAAGGTCTGTGGGTTTTATCATACATATTATTAATGGCAAGTATTTCAAGAAATATGAAGGCACGTTTCCTTTACTCTGAATAACCCTGGTGGACGTAAAATGAAATACTTAGTGGTATTTGCATAACGTTGGGCCAACGAAGAATGCTTGTGTCCTTAAAAGTGCCAATTCGCTTGAGTAGGGCTTTTACTTGTCCGACGACCCATTTAATCACAGATAAAACAAGTGGAGAATATCACAGCGTAGATATTTATGCGAGTTTTTCTAAATTGCCATGCGCTAGGTGATGGTATGTCATTAACATAACCGTTATATGGAATAGTAAGTAGGCAGTTATCGATAATGGCATCACCTTTTCCGCGCCATGCTGCCAGTAGACCAAATAACAAAGATATGTGGTAGGAATTCGTACAGAACTAGTAATATAGTTAAACTTGTGGGGAAATCCACTGGAGACATATTTCTTGTCATGCAAAAATCAGATTTGAACTTTACTGTTTTAGTACACCAAGTGACAACGTGATTTACCCAAGTCAACAGACGTATTTTGGTGGGTTGGTTCAGCACAACTCGCTTCCTGCCCATTTAGTTTTAATGAAGGTGACAAGAAATATCAACTGGCAGCTAAAAATTATGAACATAGGCATCACCCCCTCAAATAACTGCGACAGGTCACCATTCTGACTGCCAGACTGTATGGAGATGCCAATTCGGCGCACATACAGGCTGACGAGTCATGGCCTTTAATGCAATCTAAATGTTTATTGGTGACTCAGAGAACTTGTGTAAGGCGCCTTTCGAGACTGTGTTTTAACCTCCGTCACCATTCACGGGAGTGGTGCTTAGGAATGATGGAACAGTGAGCAAAACCTGGGCACCTTGGTCACTTGAACGGCTCTTACTGATGAAAAATCTCTGATTGTATTAATTAGCAACGGCATACGAGAGAACAAGTAACTCAACTTCCTATTCAGCTGTTTCTTGCTGTGCTTCGTAATTTTTTTCATGGATGAAAGTTGCGTAGACTCTAATAGAGTTATGATTGCTGTTAGTACCTGCTTACATTAATTGTGTCTTTACGTTGATCCTCAGAGAAAAGAGAACTAGTGAATGGTAACTGTGAAACGTCGATTAATTTTGAAATCGAAGGACTAATTTTGCACTCTTTTCCGCCAACATGCAGGAAAACTTCTTGTGAGTAAGAAATTAAAAGCACCAAAGTGGAGATGATTTTCGTTTTTTTTTCAGCTTAATAATGCCTGGCCTGTGCCCGTTCTTCAACCTCGGCTGGACAAACATTCTTGTCCTCACGACTCCAGAGAAGGTAGCAATTTCATCCCAGTTGCATGCTAATTATTTTAAATTGGCGTTAAAATGCACAAGTGTACTTTACTTTTGTGAACAAAGACCGAAAAGAAAGACGATATGCAAAAGGCTACACATCTGATTCAAGCGATTCGGCAATTAAACCCTCGCGCGGTCGTACTGTCGGCTCCATTCGGTAAAATCCGAGACTATACTCAACTAAATCTCCTGCTGAATGACGACCTATTCGACGAAATCGAACTGCAGCGTCATCGTCTCCTAACCTATGCAAGGTAAACAGTTAATTTTACAAAGTTTCTTTTTTATCTTCGAATGACGCGTTTTTCTAAAAACGCGCAATTACATCGAAAATTTTTGAACAGTTTCTGATAGCATGTAATTCAGATTGAACGGAGTCACAATTATATGGATAGGTATCGAAAATCACGGAGTTTGTTCACTTTTTACTACCATTGCAAATCATCTGTTTATCCACAGATCACTTTTTGCTTCTCACTAGAGACTAGGAGATGAAAGTTATGGCTTACACTACTTTTAAAAAGTAAGCTCGATCCGCCGCTTTCCCGCTAAACGACAAACTGCAAATTTTTACTTTTTAAAATGAGGGCAGGTTTTGTTAAAAGTACAAGTTTATTAAGCAGATGCACTTGTAAATCCTTCGTATAGCCACTGTTCCTCACTCGGTGAGTACGTTATCAAGAAAATTTTCGTGGAGTTTAGACTGCCCTTAGAAAGAGCTAGATGGACCGCCGCACTTAAAGGTAAACAAAATGTTTGCATTTTATCCTGTTCACATTTTGACATGATTTATGCTGACCTTCGACATCGCTTCCACTTTAGGTTTAGTGACAAACTTGAGTCCGCTTTCTGATGAGCCAATAATTGTCTACGTTGACGCCCACCTAGCCTTCGACGATGGTGAGTTAACGAACGGGCAGTAAGTAACTAAACTGATTGCAATTTTACTTCAGTTAATCCTTGTTGCCTTAGCTTATGTTAATGGGATCTGTGGTAACTATTCTTTACTGCCGTCAGTGGTTGTTTTCATAAAATGTAATCAAAGGCAAGGCTAACAAGGGGTTAAACCCCTTTTTAATAATTTACTGTAGCCCAAGAGTGATTAAAGATCCAGGCTTTAACGGGATTTCATTTTGAAGAGGTTTGCTTCCACGTCGAAACTTTTAATTGTAATTCGTTTGCTCTTCAATATAAAATTTGGCAAAAATCAAATGAATTAAACAAAAGAATGGTCTAATGCACACGTTTTCGATTACAAGTTATTTACAAACTGTGTCCCACGGTCTTGCATTTATTCGCTTCATGTTCTTAACTGTGCGACATAAAATGAAACGAACGAAACTTACATTAAGAATAGGGGAACTAGAAGCGTCATTATTGTTCCCAATAAATCATTTTCCAAGAGCTGCAAGTGTTACTACTATGTTCAATTATCAGACTTAAATTCTTCTCTTTTAGACGCAAATTCCATTCATCATTGCTGTTACTGGCCCCAAATTGACACTTCGAAAGAGTCACGCAGCCCTCATCACAATGAATCTGGTGATAAATCGCTTCGAAAATCCTTCTCCCTTACTGCCCTCTTCTTTACCAGCCAAAAAGCCCCAGGCATCCGACCCGACTATAACGGTGACTGTGAGGACAGGCTCACCCAGTGGCTTAAGGCCTGGCTTCGGACCTGTCTTCGACAGGCTGAAAAACTCAAGCCGCTAATTGAAAAGGAGAAACTCTCTGAGAGCGAATTGGATAAAATTAATGTATGCTCTAACTTGTGTTTTGGTCTTCGCTCTGGTCACTTGGGGATAATTGTGTTGCCAAACACCTGCGAATCCACCAGCACTGGTCTTAGGTTGTTACACTTAGACTTGTCTAAGCGACTCGCCTAAGCACTCAAGGGAGTTTATTTGGAATATAGAAAGCCAGTTATTTTTCTTTAAAGGATACATAAATGGCGTGTTTGGGGTTTTAACAAGGCGGATTAGTTGTCCGAACCTAAGTATATTTTGATAAACCTTATATCCATACTCTCTCCTACTTTCGTTTAGCAACTTTCAGCATTTTTTAAATGTATTAATTTCTTGCTATAGTTTCAATATTCTTTGACCTCGTTTTCCAAGCTAAAAGAGCAGATGCATTGTGTCTTAAATAATGAGGCACTAATCCCACGGGCCGATAATGGTTTTCGATTTGTAACCAATAATATCAACAGATACCTTAGGTCGTGGTTAAAGACTATTTACAAGTTCCTCCTCAGTAGTATATTTCATGAGTTAGGAAATTTCTTATTTCCGGAACTCCAGTCTTCAACTGCAATGCGACCTCAAAATAAGTTGTTTGGTAGGAAAGGGAAAACGTTTCGTGTTACTTCCAGTGTCAGTGACTTTAGCATGCAAATGGTCATTTTTACCCTTTATAATTTTTACCAACCACGCATGTTTGTGTGTCTCTTCCACTGATGATCGCAACTGTTCTGTAGCGCCTTTAACTATCTACACTCTTAAAATCCTAATTGATATGTCAAGTGTTTTTATTAAATTATGTGTGTACTTAAGACAAATGCAAAGATTTGTGATGTTGGCATTGGGGTAAGGAATTACGGTCATTTAATTCTGATTTAGTGATGAAACAGATGTCCGTGAATTTCTGAAGTTTTTGTAGCTTGTGCTGACAAATGTTGGGGCTTTACAAGTGTTTCTCGGCACTGTAGGATATGTATCAACTGCATCCCCTGCCCGATGGATGGTATTTCACTGGAACTCAATACGTCCACATCGTTGGTGATAGATCTTTCCGACACCCATGTAAGCATAGACTTGTCCCGTTTAACCGTTCTTTTCAATGCTAGATTGTTGTCGTATTCCGAGGAAAACTTGCTCAATTTTAATCATGTGGACTATATTACTTGACTTATGACAACGAGTAAATTTTAAACCCCGTGAAAAACTTATTGGTTAACTCATCTCCCCTTTATTATTTCTGACACCTGGCTTATTAAAATGCATTCACCTCGCAAGCGGTTCATAAATGGCATGCTTAAAGTCATGTACCGTGTGCCATGCATTCAATTAAGTAAGCTCAGAATGGCCAAGTAATCTCGATCTCTCTTGAGACAGATAACTACTGATTTAACAGTTAGAAGGGTCATTCAAAATCTATGTGGCGTGATGTACTTGCAAAGGTATTCTTTGCTAAACATAACACTTGCTTATTCATAATACATTTAACTGTAGACGTTTTAGTACGATGGGCACACAGAGAGCATATTTATTCAATAAGAATTAAGCAGAAGAGCCTAAAATGGGTCCTTAGACACTACTCTTTCTTGTTTGAGCGGCCTAGGTTACTTTTGGCCTTCTTCCATGTAACAGCTTATTCTGCATTAAATTCAGCTTCAAGTCATGCCTGAATCCACCGAACGGCGTGATGCAATAAGTCTTGAAATGCTTTAAAATTCTTGTCACACATGCCCAGGCACCTTGTACAGATAGTATCTGTTGCACCACTGTAAACTAGCAATACAAAGGCATTTTCATGCAACGCCATTTGAGTAGGTTTGTATTTTGTCCTTAATTAAAAGTAAACCCTTTCTAACTGTAGAAAATGTTTTTTTAAATACAGTTAAACAAATTTCTTTACTAAATAATTGCCGTTCTTTTTTAGGTTTTGACCGTTTAGTCGATGAGTATGTTGCACAAGAAAATGAAAAGATTAAACAGTTTAATGCCTCTCTAATTAACGCTCCTGTTGTTGATCTTTTCGACTAAGTTGCTTCAGTTTTTTAGTGTTTTTGTTACAATGATCAAACTGTTGCTCATTAAATTTCGTTCTTGCATTATACAGTAGTAATTTTTGGGGGTTCACAATCTGAGAAGGCTGTTAGTTTTTTACCCTGCAAGCAGAAACAAATTTACAACAAAACATATTCATAAAGGAATAAAACACCAAAAGTATGGTTTTTGAAGTCGCCATTTAGGTAATCATGTAAAATGAATAAAAAATTTTGATTTTTGGTTGTGTAATCAATGAAAGCAGCCATAATTCTGGGCCCACCGGAATTTTCCACAACCCATTAACGGGAATTTGTTCCGAAAAAATAATCCGGCGATCGTCACGTATTGTATGCAACAAATCTTCCTGTTTCATTGTTAGAACTATTCTGCAAATTAGAACTACTTGGATTTCTTGATTTCGTTTTATTTTATTATATTACGATTGTGTCTGAACTCATCCCCGCAAAAGTGTTTAATTAAACCAGATGGAGGTTAAGTTGTTTTTCTTTGCGTGTGAAGTCGTTAAATTGTTTCAAGGCACCTTTTCAGAATCTCGTAGTAATAGATGTTAGCTATGTCGGTGCATGCATGAAATTGCATATCAAACCCATTAAAATGCTATTCGAATCTATCATGATTTTAAATTTCCTGCGACCGACAGTGCACACAAGACAACGACGATTTCAAATTAAAAGGCAATGGTTTCCGTATTGTGAAATCAAAATTTTAGCATACTATTTAGAGCATCACGACGGAGGATAGTGGCAAAACCATCAAACGGTTTGCTTTGTGTCAAAATTCAATTACTTTATTGAGTTATTTTAGTTTTGTGTTTATATTCTTTAGGTTTCAGCCTTCATCAATATGCGAAAACTTAATAAGTGCGTATTTTTCAAGCTATGCATTGCGCGTATCCAGTCAAAAAAAGGAATCACCAAGGTAAATGGTTATCGCCATCAGAAATGCTGCATAATGGCCATGTCCACCATTTGTATACTCAAATTCATGCAAAATCACAAAACGCCTTCAATCAACTGGTTCATTTCATTTTCATAAATTCAGATAAAGCAATCACGACTGTTTGGGACAGAATGCAGTTGCCATTCAGCGACCGATGGGACGAGTGAAACGACGACGATAGCGGGGGGGTGAGGCACCAGGAAATACTGAAAAAGGAAATTAGCACTTTTGTTTCCATTGCACCAAAACAAAGACTAAGAAGACACGAATAACTAGTGTATCTGGAACACTAGGCGAGAATTATCAGTCTGCCTACCTTTAATGTGAAATCAAAGGTTAACTAGCAAAGCAAATGGCGTGCCAGACATACCTCCCAGTGAATCAGATGAGTCTTTGGCGTATTGTCTTGAGAGAAGGTTTATGTAGTGGAGTAAGTCAGCGCAAATTTGTTCTCTGTCAGCGGTTTCGAGTACTTCATCCCTTATTCCCACCGAGGATGTTGCAGCCACGGCGCCAGCAAGGAGTAAAGTTGTGGCAAAAGCAGAGAGAACAGCAAATTGCATTCTAACAACGTTTGAAAAAAAATGTTATCCTTTAGTACTTTGTTTGTTGTAAACAAGTTTGGTACAATATCACACTATTACGTGGTACGACGATCTGCTGCCAGAACTGTATATCTCGTGAACAGATTAATTCCACTTCAACGCTTCTCTAGTAGTGTCAAACACCAGTTTTGCTAAATGGACCATCAAATAATGTCCGCGGATGTGGTAATGCAGAAGAAAAAGTAATTAAATGACAGCTTAGTTACGCTAAAGACTAAAGCTGATATTCTTAACACGATGATTTAAGATTAGTCGGTGTATTAATCACAATAATTCTAGCAAATGGGCAGGATAAATTCGATAAAAATGAGTTCTCTCCGTCTATTTGAAAAAAGGTGTATAATTTTAAATGGCCGTCATATTTTAGTAAAAACCCACTTGTACAAAGGCAATTACTTTTCTTTCATGACTACTTCGAGGAGCATTTGAATACCATTTGCACAGCCATTCCCCATGAACTAACTTTTTCTAGCATGTAAAAGTAATAGAAAACTATAAAATCAGGACAAAAGTCATCAACGAGTAAATTATACTTCAAACGCCCTAATAATTTATACGTAAAGGACGCAACTTTGGGAATATTTCAAATGCATTTGAACCGCAGGAGAATACTAATGTTACTTTACAAATCGTAGAAAATCCCGAGTGTAGTTTACTGTCGCATTTCATTTTCAAGCAAATTCTCGTGTTTTACATGATACCATTTTGATGTTCAACAACGAATATTCATAAATTACACGACGTTATTTACGAATGCAGTTTATTCCAATTCTGAACTTTGTTTCATTCTGTGTTAATACTATTTCAATAGAGGTACTGGTTAGAAATTCACTTGAAAGAAGAAAAATAATGGCAATGTTAATAGTGAATCTAAAATTTTGTGTGAAAACTAGCAAAAAGAACTTGAAATAACTAGCCAGTTATTCATTAGGCCTTTGCCACTTAAATATGATGGTGGTCATCATTAAAATCTTAGAAAAAATCTCTCAATGATAGGCCCATGGATTATACATTAAATATCCCACGTTTCGATGCCAATTTATTGGCTTTGGGCCTTAACTGATTTAATATCTTAAAACTGTTTGTTTCCTTCGAAGTTTTATGAACTAAATATTGCATCTAGGAAATTTCCACGTTTCACTTTTTTAACGATTTGTGAACCAAACTTACAAAAATCCCAATTATTTTTACATTTATTGATGATATTATGCAAGAAAATAAATCACACATACACTATGGTAGGTTGGTTGATGTTGAAAACAGTGGGACAAGTTGCCTTATATACTCGGGCAACTTGTCCCAAACCGCAATTAACCAATGCAAAACTAGCTCCAGGACCTGTAAACTAAGCGCAGACTGTTTTTAATGACTTTTAGCGTAAACAGCTTAGTCTTCACTGCCTTTGCATACTTGTATGTTTATTGTTATATATATATATATATATGTAGACAAATTTTTTGAATCCGCAAAGCATCGCATGGTTTCTGAATATACTATTTACTCTGCAAACATGACAATTTTTCCTCTAAAATTATTTTGACTAAAAAATTTCCTCTGCTTTACTTTCTTGGCATAAATATTTAACATTTGAAAGCAGACTATGACTTCTTATACCTTGCTTATAAAGACATTTTGGACATTGTTTCGTTAATTTTCTCTTTATTTAACACTACTATAAAATTACCTTTAGTGTAAGAAACAAATTACGTTTGAATTCAAACCCTCCCTGAGCACATATATATAT